TTAAGTACGTATTAAGTATTAAATATCGAGTATTAAGTACGTATTAAGTATTAAATATCGAGTATTAAGTACGTATTAAGTATTAAATATCGAGTATTAAGTACGTATTGAGTATTAAGTATCGAGTATTAAGTACTAAATATAGTGTATTAAGTATCGAGTATTAAATACTAAATATAGAGTATTAAGTATTGAATATTACACATAATTGTAAGGTAAGGTTTTTAACGTTACAAATGGTAGCCACTGATGATATTTAAATATATTAATGAGCGAATCATTAACAGTACGTATTGAGAGATTAAGATTCTCTAAGAATCAATAAGAATCGTTAATTGTCAATACGTAATAATCAATAATAATCAATAATAATCAATAGTAATCAATAATCGATAATAATAATAATCAATAAAAAATCGAGAATAAAGTTAGAGAATAAATTCGGATACATAGACGAGTGGGAAAAAAAAATGTAGTGGAATGTCGTAAAATTCATGGTCTAGAATTAAGGTTAATGAAACTGTAGGGGTAAACGAACATTGTTTGAGACGTACAGGCAAACAGGCAAACGGATTCCCAAGGTTGTACGACGGTTCAGAACGGATCATCTAATTTTGTAAATTCTGTAATGTAAATTCTGTAAATTCTGTAATTAATTTCGCAAAAATATCGATACGTTATTGTAAAGCTTGATGTAATCAAAACCAAAACCCTTGAGAACAATTATTACCATTATTCAAAATTAAATAATAAATGCCAAATAATAAATGTTAAATAAATAATAAATGTTAAAAAACAATAAATGTTAAATAAATATGTCATAATTTCATAATTTTAAAGCATAATCTTTGTTTTCAAGTATCATTTTTAAAAATAACAACCCATTCAAAAACATTCTTTTGTTTTCACATACGTACATAAGTACAATGACTCATTTCAAGAAAAAAAAAAAAAAAAAAGTTATTAATAAAAAAAGTAGATCATTAATTTCATTGTTATAGATGGTACCACTGTTTCAGAACATGGGCTAATAAATAGTAATAATTTACTATTTACATAACACGTGTGATCCGCAAATTTTCGAAACAACCTTTAAGGGTGAGCACGAGTTAATTCACCTATTTTTGTTAATACCTCGAGGAAAGTGAAAAAAAAACGTGCGCATTCATAAACAATAAACTTTGGGTAAATTTGATTTACAAGAAGCATTAATTACTTAGCTGAGTAATAAACTACTGAGTAATGTTTGAAAGTGATGCGTTTCAAACATTACACAAAGACATAGTTTACGCCAAAGTTTTATCGAAACTAATGATATAATAATGGTATTATGAAATTTAAGGTTTTTTTTTTTTTGTTTTTATAAAGATGGTAAAGAAGCCAATGCAAGAATACCCATTGTCAGTAAATAATGCAATACTTGCGTATGCAAAGGAAGGTACTGACTGATACTGATTGATATTCAACATATACAATTTCCAAGACAAGAAAAATAACATATTGTCGGAAAATATAATCTGAAATTTATAGAATTATAGAATTTATTATAGATTTATTATACATTTATTATAGATTTATTATAGATTTTATTATAGAATATTGTAGAATTAAAATATTTCAATTATATTTCAATTATATTTCAATTATATTTCAATTATATTTCAATTACATAGCTCCGTTAGTTCCGTGGTTCAATAAACCATAAACGGGTGTATTAGACTCTTTTACAAAAGGATGAATGTTTCAGAATGAATTAAATTGGAAACGTGGCACTGAATCGATCCTACCACGTTCCTTGTGCCGGGAACCAAATCGTCATACAATTTAGGTTGATAAAAGATATAGATAGATAGATGGATATTTTGGCAAACTCCAGGCTTTCCGTGATCTTTAACATAGGGTCTAACAGATCAGCATTGTAACGTGTAAATAATAAATACCGTAGTTTTTGTTTCAGGTTTTTCATTGTATGCATTATTTCAAGGGTCATTATCCGAATATGATGCCATAGGTTGTTACTTATATACCAATATTACTTTTTATAAAGTTAAGATGTTAATTAAGAAGTATTGTTGTATATGTACAGTACGTTCATTATATGTATATTATGTATATATGTATATATTTATATATATATGTATGCTTTTAAAATTTGGCATAATCATAAAATTTTTGGCATAACAATTTGGTAAATATTTAGTATTCTATATCTATCTAAAGTATCTAAAGTGTATTATTTATTTAAAATATATCTAAAATATAATTCTTGAGTTTAACAAAAATGTATTTTTAACCAAAATGTATTTCTAAATGTCCTTCTAAAAAATGTGACTTATAACCTAACTTGTTAACTTCTAATATAATGGTGACGTATATGGCATTCTATTAATTGTTTTAGGTATTGAAAAGCTATTTTTTTAACAAAGAACGAAACTTAACCAATTCTTTAAAAGTCTTAAACAAAAAAAACTGACGACATCAAATATTCTACGTACGTACTAAATATTTACATGGTTGAATACAATATTTTGCAAATAACAATTATTCCATTTTTCAGGGGTGTCGTAAACATAACTTCACTAGCCACTTAGCCACAAAAATTCTCAACTGTCACAGTAACAAATTATTAGAATTACTTTATCGTTTATAAAACAAAATAAATTCCGAAGTCCGAATATATTATCATTTAGAATAGATGCTATGAATATGTACTGTTTTTTATTTATACTATTATTTTAAAAACGATATTCTAGATATTCTTGTTTTCCTAAAAAGAAATTGATGTGTGATGAGATTATTATGTGATATTTAGATATATTCCTCGCGTTGTTTTTTTTATAAAAGGACCCCTTCGTCGCAGGTAAAACAAACTGAACTTGGACTTTCAATTGTAATAATAAAAAAAATATCTTTTTATTTTTTATTTTTTTTTTTCCTCTGAAATCCTTTTGAAAATATTTTCAAAACAAAGCGATTAAAAAGAATTTAATAACCTTTGAAAATCTTTATAAATCTTTGAAAATCTTTAATAATCTTTGAAAATCTTTTAATAATCTTTGAAAATCTTTAAAAATTTTTGAAAATCTTTAAAAATCTTTAAAAATCTTTAATAAGCTGACAAAATGTCTACTTTAACAACATCCGCTATCGATGCTGGGCATCTTGATTCATACCATGGAAACGCTTCGGAAAGCTCCCGAAGGTTAACTTTACAAGACTTATTATTAACTGAACCTGTACAACGATCTGGAAGCAATCATTCTTCTCCTGTTGGTTGTAGTAGAACACCTTCACCTACTGAACCTACAAACTCTACATTGATGCAATACAATAGTCGTCATACGAGTCCCCAGCTAGGATCACATCATCATCATCATCATCATCATGTTGGTGGATACTCTCAACTTCCACCTCCAATGTCACAACCAATTTCACAACAACAAATTTCACAACAACAAATCTCACAACAATGTATGAGAATTTCTGCGCTCTACAAACCTACCAATCCTGCAATGGAAGTTGATGCTTTTAAACTTACATTACCAACTCCTTTAACATCACCCAATCCAGGTCCAACAATTCCTCGAGTTCAATCATTTCATGGATATCCTTCAACTCCTTCTTCACCTACACCGATCACACCAATTCAATTAGATGAACAAAGTTCTTATATGAAAACTTTAGCTACATCAGGAACTGTTACACCTCTCTCACTTTCTGAACGTCGCGAGAGAAATAAAGTAGCATCAGCAAAATATCGCGCAAAAAAACATAAACAAAATCAAGAAATGAGTTCACAAATTAACGAATTAATTGCCGAAAATAATGTATTAACGAGACAATTAGAAGAAATGAGAGCCGAAAATAATGAATTAAAAGATTTAGTTGATAAACTTAAAAGTAAATTAGTTGAAGGAAAAATATTGAAAAGATTAGGTCGTGGGGCAAAATTAACCGCTGCTGTAACCAATACTATTGGAACCACTACTGAAGGACTTGCTTCCCTTTCTACAACCGTAAGAAAAGGTACAAGACGAAATGGTTATAGCGGCCATGCAAAAGGAACTGAAGCCACTGCAAAAAATTCCAGAAAATAATCATAAAAAAAATCTTATGAATCACATTTTTGTTACTATAAGCATTTATTCGTCAAAACACACAAACACAACACATTCACAAATTTCATTTTCACACATATAGCATTAATCAAACAAAAGCCTTTGTTTACATATATAGATAGAACAGTACCGTAAAACGCCGTATAAGGTACCCGGGTATCTTACAATTCACATGATAAAAATTTGATTTGTACCCCCCGGGTACCTTGTATGGAGGAGGGTATATTATATGGGGGGTATCTTGTGAAAAACATATATTAGCCCATTAGTAAAAAAAGATTTTCATTATTAAATCGATCCTTGATTTATACCCGGGTCTCTTACAAAACACCACAACAAATAACCTTGAAACATACCCGGTACAAATCAAGGGGGGTACCTTATACGGCGTTTTACGGTAATATAACAGAGAGAATTTGTAAAATAATTTTTTTTTTTTTTTTTTTGTATGGCGACCTATTTTTTTTTATTTTTATTATTTTTTCTTTTTATATCTGGTAGTATGACGTAAAGATGGGCTTCTATAGATAAATCATTGATATACATTCCCTTATTTGTACCTATTCAAATTTAGAACCTTTTTTACATATATACATATATACATATATATAGTTTTTTTCTGTAAATTATTTGGTCCAAAGATACACGTTCACAAATTGTTTGTACGTATCTCTTTATGTAATAAATCTTTTAAATATTGAACATAGATTCTCTAATTATACTTAATAACCGACTCAGCGTTCTCAGTGTTCTTAGTGTTCTCAGTGTGTTTACAAATGTTAGAAGTGTTACATATTCTAAAATATTCTAAAATATTCTAAAATATTTTTAATTAATACTGTAATTTTGAAAGGTTTGAAAGTTTTTTTTGACATCAATCATACACACAGTAATACAGTGGTAATACAGTATTAAAAACGATATGACCTATATTAGTATTACGTATTACGTAGTTGGATAGCACTCGGATAGATACTCGGATAGATACTTGGATAGATACTTGGATAATAAATAATTCAAGTTTTACCAAGGTTTATCAAGTGCCTAAACATCGGAAGAACCACCAAACAACAAAACAATAATCATTACTTAAAAAAGTAGCGAAAATTATAACCTTTCCGTAGAAATTGACATCATTTTACATCACTGTATTAACTTGTGATAAATGTGTTACCGTAACCATGACAATAAACATAATAAAAATAATAAAAATCTGCATACGGTACGTGGTATTTTTTTTTTTTTAAAAAAAAAAGTTACCAATATCTAATATTATCATTATGAAAATCCTTTGGATTTACATACATCCAATGAATTTAACTGTATATATTAAAAATGATGTTATCATCGACAAGAGTGTCGTCTTTTTTTTGTTTTGAGTTACACGTTAGGTTCTTCTTAAATAAGGTCCAGAACATTCTGTTTATGGTAACAAACATCCGAAAATAAAAACCAACTTTATTGGATAGTAATGGTAGGGGTTTACCATTTGAAGAGACCATTTAACCAAATAATTCTTACTTAATCCAAAAGCGTAAGTTTCAAAAAAGATTTGAATTTTTTCGTTTTTTAGATGAAATCTATTTTTAGTTTTTAAAAAAAGTATCGGTATGATAAAGTATGTACGTATATGCTTTATATGTACGAACATGTACGAAATATGTACAAACATGCACGAACATGTACGAACGTACATACATACATACATATCAGGAATTTCTATTTTCAAAGTTTAGTCAGTTTAGCCAGTTCAAGTTTTAAAATAATCAGGTTTTTACTTAATTCGGAAAAAGATCTTTTTTTTTAAAATTAAAAAAAAAAATTTTTATATACGTACAAGTTATTATATTATATATTAAACAATGATAATCATTATTATTCAATGAATAAAATAAATTTGTGTATGTAGGTTAATTATAAACAGGTTTATCTATAATTTTTACAAGTTACATGTTTCATAAGGAGTCACAAATACTGCGAATACCGGGGTTTACTAAACTTATAATGTAGATCTTTGATTATCGTGATAAAAAAATTGCTACGTATTATACTTATTTGATTTAGTCGATAAAAATTTTACGTAGTGAAATCGTGCAATCATTCAATCAATTCTAAAAAAAATAAAATGCCGTTTACATTTAAAGAGAACAGGGGATACGGATTCGAATTCCAGATACTTTAAATTAGATAGTTAATGTGTATTGGTATGACTATTTTTGTTTAACAAGGTCAATCACGTCATTTATGCCGTGGTCAAAGAAATCAAAAAATCAAAAAAATCAAAGAAATTAACGGAATCAAGAAATTAAAAAAAAATCAAAAAAAAAATATTAACTTATTTAATCCTTCAATCAAGAAGTTATTTGAGAAATTTTATTGTTGTGTACGATAAGAATAGTGTCACACCATCCTTATTTAAATACAGATAATTTTCCTGTGGCTTGTAGTAGTTCCCAGTATGGTCATTCCGGGTATGGTCATGGTTATTCCGAGGAAACAAAACACATTACTCTTCTCCTTTCACATTTATTCTTATATGTTACTTATCCAGATTGCTCTATGTATGCTATCATAATCTTACGTATCTAACATGGCTGCACGTGTATGCTATGGTTTATTGTAACACATGAACAATAAGAAAAACAAAAACCCAAGATTTTTTATGTTTTTATATTTTATGAATTCACGTAACGCCGAAATAATCACACTCGCACAAGTTTAAAGACAAAGATGAAAATAAGAGATAAAACTTAATGAACGAATAATAAATGAATTATGAATGAATCACGAGTAAGTCATGAGTGAGTCATAAATGAAGTAGAGATGATCGTATAGAAAGTCTTTGTTTCTTGCGTTTCATAATGTTTATCCGATCGTTGCCGTGCCTTGACAAGGAAATTGGCGCGTCTTTATGTCTTTAACACCAAAAATATACTAATGATTATACTAATGAATATACTGATGAATGCATTAATGAACATTCATTAAAGAGTTGATATGAAACACGAGCTTAAATCGGTTATACCCCTAATATTGTGTTATGGCATATGAATTGCTAATTTTGATTTATTGATTAAGATATCTGTTCAATTAATGATACGTATTTAAAATTGAGATAACATAGTTGAGATAACATAATTAACATAACTGAATAACAATTGAGTGCGTAGCAATTGAATAACAAAGCTATGATAACAAAGTTGAGATAACGTAATCGAATAACATAATTGAATAACACGAAAAACGTTGTCGCCATGCATGTTGTCTTGAACATTTAAAAAGTACGTCATTGAGATTTTTTTTTTGGTAACAAGGATACTAATTAAAGTTTTTCTGTACAGTGTAAACTTTGTTACCTAATACTGTAATATCGGATATTCAATATCATTATTATAATTAATATCATTGAGATCTGAAAAAAAAAATCCCGCTCATTGTAAATCATTAATTGTCAAAAGTGTAACGGTTAAATGTTGACGTGACTTTATGCTTTTTTATAATTTCTCTTTATATCTTTATATTTGGTTTTTAATACATTCCTTGTTGTTTCGACTATACATGCTATTTAATATCTTCTATATGCTATATACTTTATTATATGCTTCATTATATGCTTCATTATATGCTTCATGAATGATATGCTTTATTATATGCTTCATTATATGCTTCATTATATGCTTCATGAATGATATGCTTTATTATATGCTTCATTATATGTTTTATGAAATTATATACTTCATTATATGCTTCATTATATGCTTCATTATATGCTTCATTATATGCTTCATTATATGCTTCATTATATGTTTTATGAATGATATGCTTTATTAAATGCTTCATTATATGCTTTATAAATAATATGCTTCATTATATGCTTTACGAATGACATAATATGCTTTATAAATAATATGCTTCATTATATGCTTTACGAATGACATGATATGCTTTATGATATGATTTATAACGTTAATCACAAATCCGGATTAGATTTAATGTATCAGATCTTTCAATGCTATTGGATAAAATTTCTATAAAACAAAGGAGTAGAACAAAGGGTCACCATATGACCTCAAAAATGTTACCATCAGTGTTAATTTGGAATAATATTGTAAATTCTTTTGTTTTCGTTTATTGGCATTGTTTAAAAAATGTTGAACAAAGGATTCCTTTTTTATATAAGTCCAAAATAGGAACATAAATAAGAACATAAATCAAACATCATAAATCATAAATCAAAAACGGCATTCATTAAAAGTGGCATCATTTTAATCTAAGACAACATTGTTCTTACCTGTTCTTTTATTTTTAAAAAATAGTAACACGGAACTTTGTTCTTTGAGTTTAAACCTTTGTTATAATCATATTAACTTGCGTGATCATGACTTCATTTATGTAAATGAAAGAGACAAAGAATTTTATGCAAAAGAATCTAAGAACGTGTAAACTTTAAATACAAAAATTGCGTACATTCAACCTACAGGGAAAAAACTGCAGCCTAAAAAATGTGGCAATTTTTTCTTTAAAATAATAGTTAAGGTATTAGATAAGGTAACAGTTAAAGTAAGCGTGGAAATAATTAAAATGTGCTTCAAAAAGCATGCCGTTTATTTAATTTTATCTATATTAGGGCATTCTTGACTTATAATGAATTTAAAGAAAACGCCAAATACAAGGATTTACATTATATGCCCTGCCTACTTTATTCATCAAATAAAATAATATTTTTCTTCTTGACTTTATATGTAAAAAAAAAGAAGAACCTAATTTATAAATTAAGTAATTAACTCGTATATATGATAAACAAAAATGCAATGCAAGATCTCAACTAGAATTCGTATTACAATATTTACCAAATAAAGAAATGCAAACAATGGTTAATCAACGATCATCGACCGTTACCAAATATTTGGATTTCGGTCCAGAATTTCATTTTAATTACTAAATTACTAAATTACAAGGGTTCATTTTATTATTAGAAA